GAGCACAGCGATAGCAGCACGTGGTCCCGACCTTCCCCACACACAACATATCCAGGCAAGGACTGATTCCCCCCCCCCTTTCTGTGCAGAGAGCTAATGGAGGGGTTAGCGCCCTTTCTGCCCCCACCTTAGGAGGCCAAACAAACGGTCCCCATAGTAATAAATATTTTACGAAAATTATTAAATGCGCTTCGCTTAGTGCCAATCGACAATGAAAACCAAATCGACTTGTGGGGGTTCTCTTATTTTCATAGCTGATCTTATCTGTGAGCTGTGTGGTCCAGACCAAATATTCCTTAATGCTGACCGGTCTGGGATAATTCCAGACCAAAGGAAAAACATTTTATCTCCTGCGCCGACACCGAATAGGTGGATTAGGGAGCCCGGAGAAAAAGGGTAAACGTAAACAGACGATGGTCAAAGGACCCTCTGTACACGTTCCGGCACCCAGCAGCGTACGGACGCCTCTCTTTTCGAAGAGGGGGCGGTTCTGGTTGGAATTTTCCAGAGGCAAAGAGTCTTCCTTCCCCGCCGCCTCCCCCCTTCTGGCGCGTCTCTGCGTCTTCCCTCACACTAAGGAAAGTTTTAGTTAGGTAACAAAGGAAATTGAAGCTACTGGACTGGGGGCAGTACGGGTAAGCGACAAGCAGCTCAGGGAGATGATCGTGATCTGCTGCTTATTTGCTGAGGCCCTTTAATTGTTCGACTGGCGAAGAAAGACGTAACCGAAGAGCATACACCGTTCAATGAAGTCACTACTCTCACCCTTGTACGCGTACCCAGGAAGGAAGAAACCAGGGAGGGGTTGCGGGTGGCAGGGGTGCAGGGGCGCTTAGGGTGGGTCAGGGTGAAGAGAGAGCGCGCGCAATCAACAGTCGCACAGCACAGCCGCGTCGGATGGGTGGTGGTGGTGGGGGTCCTTTCGTCGCTCCCGGGTGGCTTTCCCTTTCCCATCCCTTCTCGCATGCGCCTATCCAATGGCCTACCTTGCGAGTGCCCGAGGCAGGGCGAGGTCACGCGGCTCCTATGACCAATGCTTCCAATGGGGACTGTACAGGGTGAATGGGCGAAACTGCTGCTCTCGCGGGAAAGCTACAAGGTAGAGGAATAAAAACACCTTTAACCGCCAACCGATTTTTCATGTGGCATTTTTGGCATCAAGCGTCGCAGCGCAGGACCAATAACGCAGGACCCGCAGGGCAGGACAAGCCATGACATTCGTATTAATATTGTTGTTGGGGAAGCTGGCAATGCAAGCTCATTGTTGTGGCAAAAACACGGCGTGCTTACCTTTGTTCGGACACAGAGCCGCCCAGGTCACCTCAGGAGACGCGGACACATCATGCCGCCCAAAAGGGGTCGTCCGCAGCCGCCGCCTCCGCCCGCGGCCGTGTCGCTGTCCTTGTCGTCGGACTCCTCGGCGCTGTCCCTGGAGCCGCTGGTGTTGCTGCCACCGGACGGCGGCTACGGCTGGGTTGTCGTGGCAGCATGCTTCGCCATGAACCTCATCATCGACGGCGCGATCTACACGTTCGGTACAACCAACGAGGGGTGAGGGTAGAAGTTTTTAAAGAAGTACTCCTCCGGATGTGTTTTTTTGAAGTTCTCCGAGTTTTCCGGAAAAGATAAAACATTCGTGGGAATTTTATATCTTTTTTAGACTTAAATATCTATTTTAGACTTGAATATTGAACGTTAAATAAATCCCATAGAACCTCTCACCCTACTTGAGCGTTTTGGGGTTGTTTTTTGAGGGGTGGGGGTTGTTTTTTTTGAGGGGGTGGGGTTTTTTAACAAGAGAACATGTTTATACAGCTCTGAAGCTCTTCATGTTGGTCTGCTCACGTAGGCTACTACCAGAAGAACATCCAGGAGGACTTCGCTAAGGACTCGGCCGCTGTGGCGCTGCTCGCCTCCCTGTGCTCTGGCTTCTACTACGTCGCGGGTGCGCAGGCAAGGGCACGCAGTAGGCTCAGTATGGAGCAGCTTCAGTAAAGGGTACTTTTAAACGGAAATCCTTCCAAGCCAAGTTAAAACTGACACTTTAGCGAATCTGCGACACAAATAAATTAAAGGAAAAGAAGGAGGAGGAGGAGGGGCGAGGGGTCATTTTACCCTCTGGTGGAGACTGTCTTGGGGACTGTCTGTCTAAAATTCCCTCCCTAACCCAAACACCTGCTTGTAAACGCTAGCGCAGCGCCCCTGTGGAGCGCAATGGGTAACCGCTGGGGCTTCCGGGCCGTGAGCGTGATGGGATCCCTGGCGTCTGCGGGATCCTTCGTGGCATGCTTCTTCATCACGGAGTACGCCGCCTTCGTCGTCATCTATGGCATTGTCCTGGGTGAGTTGGTGTGTGGGCGCATCACCATACCGTCCATCGGCGGCGTCTTTTGTCCTCACCTGAACGGTCCCTAGGGGCGGCGAGCGGCGCAGTGTACGTGGCCACCATGATCTCGGTCGGGTTCTACTTCGAGCGGTGGCGCGGCGTCGCCACGTCGCTGACCTCGTGCGGCAGCGGGGTCGGCATCCTAGTCATGCCCCTGTGCTACCGGGCCCTGAGTGCGCGCGACGGCTACTCCTGGCGCTGGATCATGGCCTTCAACGCGGCAGCTTGTGGCGCAGTGCTGGCTCTGTCGCTGCTGCTACGGCCCCTTCAAGTGATACATCTTAAAATTACATCAATTGTAAAACAACAACAAAAACAGCGCCTGCGAACGTTGCGATTTGACATCATCCCTCTTGTACCCCGCAGCCCATCCCCCTATCTGCGGTGCGAGGCGAACGCACGGTGCGCTTCCAGGACGAGGAGTCGCCCCCGCAACAGGCCAAGAAGGGCGCTCGGGGGAAAGAGAAACCAGTGCCCGCCCTCAAGCAGCTCCACGCCTCGCAAACGTCATTCTCACCCTCCGTGGCCGCGCCTCAATTCGACGCCATATCCATGACGAGCCGGGCCTTCCCCAGGCTAGAACACGATGATAACTGACCCTTGCACAGGAACAACGCTAAATTGCATCGGCTCTCTGACAAAGCAAAGCAACCCGTCGTGCAGGAGCGGACCGGACGCGCGCGACATGCAGACCGGCTCGCGCCCCATGTACCGGGACGACATCTTCTATGGCGCCGGCGCCTCGCGCCTTACCTCGCAGATGTCGACGCGCGCCCTCGTGACGCTCCCGGTGGCGGACGGCCTCGCCGCCGCGGACAGTGTCCTGGATTCCGCGGAGGACGCGGCGGCCCCAGTCAGTGCAGGATCCGAATGGCGGTGACTGTTCTCTGGGAACCACCTGTGGCGGAATCACGATGGCGATGACCTGCACTAGGGCCCCGGACACGGAGGCGGCTGCTGCGGCGCGCTGTGGGCGGCCACCACGCGCTGCCGCCTGTGTCCCCACGCAGTGACGAGCACGCTGGCGGCGCTGCTGCACCACTCCATCCTCACCAACAGCGTCTTCCTCGTGTTCGCCGTCACACAAGTACTCGTGATGGTGGGCTACTTTACCCCCTTCCTTTTCTCACAAGGTGAGCCCGAGAGTGTCACCTTTTTGTTCATTGACCTCAACTCAACTGGGCTGGAGAAGACTCGCCCTTAGGCTAAAGTTCTCTTTTTTGGTAGCGCCTTGGCAATTTGTTTTACCATAATATGACAGACCAGGCTATGAAAGCGGGGGTGCCACCAGATCTAGCCGAGTGGATCCTGCCCTCCCTAGGAGTAGCCAACGCTGTGGGACGAGGATTGTCGGGGATAGCTTGTGAAGTACCTGGGGTGTCGGCACTGGTCCTCTCCTGCATCACAATGACTATGGCCAGTATTGTTGTGGCCACAACCTGTGTGTGCTCAGACCCGATTTACCAGCTATTTGCATCATCAGCATATGGATTTTTCATGGGTAAAAAATTGTTTCCTCCAAAATCCAAGTAAAGTTTTAAAAGCTATAACAACACTGAGTTTGCTTTACTTTGTTGATTACAGCACCGTTTATGGCAATGAAAAGTCTCATTTTAGTTGACTTCCTTGGAATAGAGAGGCTTACAAACTCATTTGGTCTCTTGCTTATGTTCCAAGGTTTTGCCGTTATGATTGGGCCCCCAATGAGTGGTAAGTTTACATTTACACATATAAAAAGGATCTCATATAAAACATTTACCTTAAAATATTAATAATGCACAATAATGTTAATGTTGAATTTCTTTTTTATGCAGGGTGGATATATGATATGACACAATCATATGACTATGTATATATAATATCTGGTTCACTGTTATTTATTGCTTCCGTTTTACCATACCTCATGTATCCCCTGACAACTTATGAGTTGAAAAAAGAGATTAAACAGGCATCACGTAGAAGTTCTTAATAAACAAAATCTTCAATACAGTAAATCTCATTAGTTGTACATAAAGACAGCCTACTTCTAGTTATAAAAGTGTGTAGGTGTGTCAGTCAACATTAAACAGTCATGTATAAACTACACAATATGGTAATAAACGAGGCATAAAGCATGCTTAACATTTTCAAATAATTTTCAAAAGTGTGATACATACCAAGTGATAAGAAGAACACAAATGCACACAGCATTTCATCACAAATTTAAGTGCAAGACTTTCATTTGACAAAACCAAAAAAAATACTTTAGACAGTAAAAAAAGGCACTTTTTGAAATAATCAAGTATCAAGAGAATTAGAAACAAGTTATTAAGAATGGAAAATTAGTTTTATCACCAATACAGTATGAAACACAAGGTTGGGTAATATGAGAATTCTAATTAATACCCTGTAATAAACTAACACAATCAATGAGGATAGATCAGCCCCATTAAATTCTACTCAATACAACACAAAAATATCACATGAGTACCTACAAACACTGCAGCCCTAGAGCAATATACATACATATAAACATTACGGTAAAGCATGCAACGCACACATGTTTTCATTTCCTACAATGCAACCTGGTTGATGCATCCATTCACAATTCATCCAAAACATTTAGAAATTAAATTAGAGTCAGCCTTTACCCACACATTCAACCTACATGGTGAACTGCAAATCAGGCTCTGGCTATCATGTTTCATCACTGGTTTGAGTGGGTTCACAAAACTGGTCTCCTTCAGAGTTAAAAATGACCACTTTTGGAGTATTGCGTTGAGCACAGTCTCACTTCTTTAAAATTTGATACCAAAGAGCACATCAACTTTGTCATTATTTTTGTTTTTTGTTTTTTTACAGCAAAGACCAACAAAAATGTTTAGTAGAAATACATTACTACTCATTACTACAATATTATGTTAGTTATCTATACCACTTAAATTTCTACATGCACTTGAAAAATAATACAACTGAAAATTTAACAACAAACTTGGGTCAATCTTGATTCTTAAAAAAAATGGGGGGGTGGGGATGAAGTGACTGTTGTCAACTACAGGTAAAAATAAGATGCTATTATCTGAATTAAGGTTGCAGCTCAGATAAAGAATAAAGAAAGATAAAACAAGTTGTTTACTCTGCCATTCCATGAGTCATGCACATGCATGTTTATAAATATAACAAATTTTTCTACAAAACCTTTATGGTGGTGTATGTTATTGCGGCTGATTACCATTGAGCTCTTGGTCGTTACTGCCAGTACTATCTGCAGAATTTTCAGGTCGAGACTGATGACCAAATTGAGTACGAATAATCATTGACAAATTTCGAGCAATATTTCTCTGAACTCCAGGAGATAACTGATGATAAGGTCTTGATGCTCTTGGCTGGCTAATATTTTGATTATCATTTGGAACTATTCGCTGCCTGGATTGATTGGGAGTCAAGTTATCATTTGGAACAGTGCGCTGTAGTCGCCTATGCTGAGGTCGATCGTGATGACATTGTATCTGCATGCGAACTGGTGGCTCAGGTTGAGACAAGCTTGATGGATTATTAGAAAGCAATTGCAAATGGTTTTGGATAGATGGCCGTCCTAAACTAGAGAGGTGGTTGGCTTGAACATGCCTTACAGTGGGAGAATTTGAGTTGGCTTGCCGTGACGGATTTCTCAAAAAAGTTTGCAATTGGTGAGAAGGCGCAACCTGAGGAACTGCTTGAGGTGCAAGGCTAGTCCGAACATGCTCAAGCCCATTAAGACGTTGAGCTATACTTGAGGCTGGGTTAAGGGATGCAGTTGGTTGGTTGTGGAGAACTGCATCCAAAACACTATTCAACAGAGGATCCTGAACCACATGTGTACCATCTGTATTGTTTGAAGTTCCCTGGAAACAATATAACAATATTATATGCACCACACAAATAATAACTAAGTTCAAGATAAACAACAATAGATAAACATACAGAAGATGTATTGATCCCAGGAACATTGCGAGCTGAAGATCTAGTTGTGGGTATGAGATTATGGAAGCGAGCCATTTCTTCAGCCGTCAGCTCTCTGGCATCACTTGCAAGTCGCTGCACAGGAATTCGGCTGCCAACCCTTGTGGGTATGTTACGCCAGGACACTCTGCTCAAGATTGGGGAGGAACTTTGAAGACCACTAGGCCCATGAACATGTGCAGAGTTTCCAATAAGAGGAGAGGGAACCAAGTCTGCTGATAATTGTTGTTGATTGTTAACATTTTGGATCCCTGATGATTGCTGAAGTGCTAATCTATTTTGTCTTGGCTCCAGCATGGCGAGAGCTTCTTCTGCTTTTCTTTGAATCTCATCCATTTGATTCTGCAAAATGACAAATAAAAATAAGTAATATATTTGGAAACAAAGATGATCTCAGCAGTTATAACTCAAGTTATTTTAATGTCTTGAACACCAAAGCTACCTGTAAGTTATGAAGTTGGCGTATTGTGTTTTTACAAACTCCAGCAACAGCATCTGTTGAAATCACAGAGGGACTGACGATTCGTTTGCCACTTACTTTATCCTCTTCATCCTCATCACAGTCAGGAACAACCTTAGAGAACAATGTATGTGTTTATAAAGCATGTGTTTAAAATAGCAAAGAAATTTGTAATGTAATCTGAAGTGAAAATTTCATTTTTACCTGAAGTTCTTCTCCTCGATGAAGTGGACGACTGGCAGTAATTATACAAATGAGCTCATCCAACACTTGAGAGGCAGTGAGCCTCATTCCTGGTTCCAGAACAATTAATCGACGTATCAGATCTTTTGTTCCCTCAGACACTCTTCCATCACTAGACAGATAGATTGACATTGAAATTAAGTATGAATAATAGGACAAATGGAAAACCATGCACCAGTAGCCAACCTGGGAATAGTGTAATCCGCAGCCCTTATTTTATTAAACAACTGGGGTGGGCTTGAATCATAGAAAGGGAATTGGCCAAAAAGCATTGTAAACAGAACGACTCCTAGAGCCCACATGTCTGAGGGTTTCCCTAGAAACATAATAAAAATAAGAGAAACAGCACACAATATCCTTGGTAATTTTTTGGTAAAGTTTTCACTGCATACCTAGATATGGTTTCCCACATAAAACATCCGGAGATATATAAGCAGGGGAGCCTCTTTGGTCCTGTAAACGTTCATTTTCACTTGCTAAATGTTTTCCAAGGCAGAAATTAGTAATTGTAACTTTGTGATTTCTTCTGTCAAGCACCAGATTCCCCAGCTTTAGATCTCGATGAACGACATTCATCTAGAAGTAGAAAAGACACAATTTGAAAACCCAATCTAATTTAGGCATGATTAATAATGAATTGGATGTAATGAAACTTACAGCATGTAGCCTTTCAACAACTTTAACCACATTGTAAAATATAATAAGACCATACAATTCACAGAGCTTTTTTTCTATGATAACATAGTGTTGGAGATTCACTAACTCTTGAGATCTTTCACAGAAATCATGAGGGGTCAGACAATCAAGTACAAGGCATAATCTTTGGTGGATACCACCAGTGTAAACAAGACCCTTTGAACGATCAACATGTTCCTCCAACGCAATATCCTAAAAAGAATGCCAAGATTTTTATTTAATAAGAGTTGCAAAAGTTTTAGAAATAAATGAAAAAACTAAAATTAAGTATGGACCTTGAAAAAATCATGATGTTGAACAACTCCTTCTTCATTTCTTAGTAGAGAGAGTAAAGAATACTCTGTGTGAAGTAACATTTTTCCCTGCCGTTCATCTTGCTCCCTGTCTGCGTTTTTCTCACCACCATGAAGTGTGAGAATCTGCATCAAAATAAAAGTCTTATTACATGAAACAACACTCACTTTGGCAAAACCAGTAAACTAATAATTACCTTAATTGTATAAAAGTTGTCAGTTCCTTCTTTGCGAGCCAAACACTGAACAATGCTATCGACAGGTGAGTTACCTAAAGTCGGACCCAATAGGTAAGGGCCAGCCCGTCTCACGGAACGAGTTGATACTTTTGTACCAGCCTCAGGAACTAGAATACATAGCAACAATCACAATAAATATTAAATTGTACATGTTACATATAAAATAGTTTAACCTTGATAAACCAGCTAATGATCACAATGAATTATGATGCGTAAATTGACATAATTTTAAACAGAACTTTGGAAGTTTTACTATTTTACTTACTTGCAAGGTTATGATTTGGTTTTACATGCCTCTGAGGGTTATTAATATTCAAACATTGTCTCTTGGGTTGATCATAGGTGAAACCACTGAGGGTAAAATCACGGAAACTACTACAGGATGGGACTTCTTGAGCCTCATCAAAGTTAGTGAGGTTACTCCCACTTGGAAAGGCATTGTGGTCAGAAAGTTCACTCATTTTTTCGACGAAAATGACTAATGTTATAATCGAGCTCTGTTTTTCTTAATGTTTTTAGGTTATAGCCACCAAGTACATATCAAAATAAAGCAGGAGATGGAACTGAAGGCCACAATTCATCTCTAGCAATGACCTGGTATAAAGTTGATTGGTCTGTGAGCAATAACACCCATGATTATGTCAATAGGAATTCCATTCCAAATCACAATCATACATACACAGCAAACAACAACTATGCTACCAAATAACACTACTACGACACCACTACAACCACTACTACTGCTCTGCTCTGCCCCCTACGGCCAGGATCGGAACTGCACTGCAACTGCAGCCGTAGGAAATACTCCATGCTGAGCGGGGAGTATAGCGAGCATAGCGCTTGGGAAAAGACCGCCCGCCGCCCTTCCTCAAGATGCCCGTTGCCGTATTGCGATAAGACTGTCTGAAGTAGAAGGCAAAGTCAGCTACAGAGTTGTATGGCACCTGCGGGCAGCGCAGATATGCTAATCCTGTTTTCAGATCATCACTTCATTCATGATTCATCTGTGACAAAAGTTGGCAGTTAGACGGAGGGGCTCGTGCACCGTTGCACCAGTTGCACCAGTTCATTTGTCAAGGCGGGGCATGGCGGGGCATGGCGGGGCATGGCGGGGCATGGCGGGGCATGGCGATGGCGATGCTGATGCTCATTCGCGCTCGCGCCTGCAACGCGTAGGGTGGGCCAACCCGCCAAGCAGGTGTGTGGAGACGGTGGCCCGCCCGCCCGCCGGCCCGCCCGCCGGCCCGCCCTGCTGAGCACTGAGTCTGTTTGTCTGTCTGCTCGCCTGTGTCTTGACCCCCCCCCACCCCCTTTTTGCCTGTGTGGCTTGGATATGTCATAAATTAATTGACAAGTAGTTCGACTTTGTCCTTTTTTACATCATAGCGGTAGAATAATTTTATTTCAATAAATAAGTGAGTCAACTCTATCAAAGGTCATCAGTTCTTCTTTTGCTTCGTCTTAGTCGTTGTCCGGCCTAATAGCGCGCGGACGGCCGCTCTCAGGAGGAGCAGGACGGCGATGACGGCTCCGAGCACGAGCGCGACCACGTCGAGGAGCAGGTACTGGTGGAGTGGCAGGTCCGCGCCGAGGGGCCGTAAGTGGGGAGCGCCTCGGTGTCTGATAACGTACTCAGTCCACCAGCCAGCCTCCTCGGCCGCAGAGAAGGGCCGATCCGCGTAGCGCGCCGCCACCGCCTTCGCGCGTACGCGGTACCTGCGTTTTGAATACAAGCGTGGTCAAAAAGGATGCCCGACTGAAAGGGTTGATAATATCATCTGTATAAAATCTTGGGGATTAAAAAGAAAAGAAAAAAAATACTCACTCATCGGTAGCGGTGAGCTTCCGGATGGTGGTGAGCACATTATCTTTGGTGAGCTCGGTGTGGTCCAGCCGTTCAGCGATGCCTAAGGTCCGGTACAGCTCCACGTTGGGCATCTGGTCGGCGAACAGCGGGATGCCCAAGAGGGGCACGCCGAGGAACATGGCTTCCGTTGTTCCCATGAGTCCTCCGTGGGTAATGAACAGCACCGTCTTGTGGTGAGCTGCGAGACAAACACTTCTATACTCCGCCTGAAACATAATAGTATAACTTCCCAGAACTACCCTCTCAGTGGCCGTATCCCAATCCTAACGTCCCCAGAAGTGTCACCGAGGTGTACAGTTGATTGTGCAACGGATGGGTTAAGTCTCAAGCGGGACGAAGGTCGCAGACTGAATGACAGCAGACTCACAAGCCTAAGAGAGCAGGCGTAAGATAGACGAAGAGATAGCACCCCCTTTCTCCTTCAACCACAGATGTGGGGGGAGTGCAGCCTGGAAGGTAGGCCGGCTATGCACCAACCCACGAAGCTGGCTGCCTACCCCCCACACTGACAGGCGGAAGCGACCACGGCATCGACTTACCCAGAATTTCCATTTGTGGCATCCAACTTGCGATGCGCACGTTGCCTGGCAGCCGGTCCTTGATGTCATCCGTCTCGTACTTCCAGAGCACACGCTGCGGCAGCTCGCCGAACGCCTGAATCAGGTTCTCGATGGTCTGCTTCGGAAGCGAGCTGGAGCGAACCAGTGAACCCAGCGTGAAGAAGATGACGCCGTGCTCCGCACCGTCCATCCATTTGCGAAGGTCCGGGTCCATGCCAGCGCCGTGACGGTCCGGCCGTGCATCCTATAGCAGGCCGATGACACATAAGACCACACAGAAGTCTGCTTCGGCAAGACACGAGGCTCTCCATTCAATAAAGACTTGGTCTTTGGCAACCATCGAGATCTTGACTACCTTGAGGTGCAGCCCGCCCACGTTAATGACGTTAGGGTTGACGGGTCGCGCGGGGTTGACGCTAACGTGACTATTGACCATAATGAGACTTGTGTTCTTGATCAGTTCGGCGATCGCTGGCGTGTCCTGGCCAAAGAACTCACGGACCACCGGATCGCTGGGGTCGTTAACGTAGACCTACAAATTTAACTCGCATTACTTTATATCAGTGTCCGTTTTGCGTGCCGATGTCTTTCCGTCGATATCGGAGATCTTACCTTGTGCATGTACTTGTTGTAGAGGCACATGAACACGTTCGTAATCTTCTGCAAGAAGTTCATCCTTCCAGCGAAGGGTTCCATGCCAGCGATGATGTAAGAAGGATTGTCAATGGACCCGACCCGTTCGTGCATCCAGGGGAAGTCCGGTGCAGTCACTACGCTGATGAGAGGGAGCTGAAACGTAGTGTTACGTCAAGACTCGACCACGGAAAATATAGGGTGGTCCAGAGACCCCTTCCATTATTTTGCTTATACTGTACCGGATGCAGGTGTGCGGGCGGGTTGCATACTCGCACGGGGCCGTAAGGCGCCGCGGTGAGCGACGGTAGGCAAGCCGGCCGCACGCCTGCGTGCGGTACAGTATAAGCAAAATAAAGGAAGGGGTCTGTGGACCACCCTTTAAACATAATGATGACTTCACAACAATAGATAACTCAGATGTCACCTACTAAAGTCCTCAAATTTTGTTATTTAGACCCTCTCTACCTTGAGCTTGTGTGCCACGGCAGCAAAACAGTCAGAGCCAAAGATCTCGGTGAAGACGACATCGAACTTGCCGTGCTTGCCGCTCATCACGTCCCGGAAGTGCTGGGTCTCGAATGTGGCGCGGCAGAGGTCAGCGCCGGCCATCTGCCCGATGAGCTTCACGATTGTTGTCCGACCGAAACTCGTCATCTGTTCGTACGTGAGCCCATTGACGAGCGATGGGAACTCCTTGGACAGGTCCAGGTCGGTGTAGTTGGCCCTTGGCGCCTTCTGGGGGAAGGGGCTCATCATGTACACGTCGTGGCCACGATCGGCCAACACCTCCATCAGTGCCTGTAGAGGAAGGGGAGACTTGTAAGCCAGTAGCGCACTCCTCTCACTCCACTAAACAGTACACATTGCGTAACACGCTTGCTCAAATCACATTATATTTATTTATTTTTACAGGGGATTGTCGGGCTCAGTGAGCGCTGCTCGGGTGCTCGCATGCTTAGCCCACTTTTCCCATGCGTGCGCTTAGAGTCGCCAATTTGGGTGGGTCTGTAAATTAGACTGCAGGCCGACGACGTGAACAGGGACAGCGACAGCGCTTACGGCTAATAAGACGGTTTTCATTTGTGACTGATACCGAATATGAGCCGCTTTATCAAAACTCTCGATCTCCCGCTAGTTCGATATGCGTTCACGCGAAACTATATCGATGTCGTTTTGGCGTAATACACACAAGCTCCCCCGTCTTAAGACCGTAATCAGATCAGTCAGACCTTGAACATGATGTTGTGACTGCGCCCGTTGAAGGGAAACATGCCGAGCACGCGGTACGCCTGGGCTCCGGGAGGGACCACAAGGGCGGAGGCGGCCAGCATGAGGAGGACGGCGAGGGCGCCGCTGGACCAAGACGACGCCATGGTGGTGGATCTCGCTGTGGTCTCTAGGAGGGCCGCCGCAGCTAGAGTGAGCTAGAGCGCTCCCGTGAGACTGCGACGCGCTGCGACGGCCCGGGACGATATCTACTTATTTAGGAGAGCTTTCGTGCAGCCACGGGCGCGTGGTAGGATAAAGGGAGAAACAGAAAGGAGAGAGAGAGAGAGGGGGGGCGGGGGGCAGCCTTGCATCTCTCTCCCACTCGCAGCGTCTATCTCCCCCGCGGCTTTCCTATTCGGCCTCGCAGCTTGATAGCATATTGTTATCTTCGAATAAATACACACCGCGTAAGTACAATCTTGATGGCCAAAACCGAAAAGGCGCGACGCGGGACGATTTTAGTCAACTCAGAGGCAAAACAATTATAAGGGACTACAGAGAAGATAGGGGTGTATGTATATCATTTATTAAATAATGTTTCTCCGCAAGACCGCATACTTTTCATTACATATCCTATGCAATGAGAAGCGAATACATTGTTGAATTTAGGGTTCAACACGATAAAAATGCCAGCGTTATACCGCCGTAATGCATGGATTTTGTAATACTGTGTACAAACGAGTGAAAACTCTTCCTGACGACTTGAAACCATTTTACTTCAGTTCCCGTACTTAACTTAGGACTCAGGTAATTAACGCTAAAAATTATTGTTTTTATTAAATTGATTTAAATCAGCGCATTCATCACTTTAAATTGGTAGAGTAATACAAGTTGTAACCTTTTTCTGATAACAGCGGCTGCCTTTTATAGTCACGGCAAATTCAAGGCCACAGTCCTCGAGATCAGTCAGCTACAAAGCCACAAAAGTATGGTCTACATATCATATTCTAATCAATCTCCCTCTAGCAAAATTCAGCGAAGTGACGCAGCACAAAAATACGTGAAACGGTACAATAGACTTGTTAGTTTTTCGGAATCAGACAGAGTTATTAAGCCTATCATAAGGAGGGATATAAAGACAATTACCAATATTCTCTTCGAAGAGAACCATAGGAGATATTCGGCAACGTGCATTAAAATGCGCACAGGTAACACATTTCGTGCGCTTTTTTTACCGCATTCTATGCGCATGAAACGCGCTCGATGTACATTAACCCGTTCAGTGCGGTGTGATGTACTCGTGCCGCACTGGACGTGTTAGAATGCATTAACCGCTTTAAATGCGTGGAATGCATCTAATATATGCGCTATGCGCATGAAAGGTCACGGGCCAGCAGAGGCCTCCTGTTTACATAGTCAAGTCAAGTCATTGCCGTATTGGATGCACTACTTTTAATGCCCACCCAAAGAAATATGTTCTCGACTCAAGAACACCCCCAAAATTTTAGGACAAATGGGATTCCTCCAATACCTTTACTTGTCACTGTAAAAGATACTCGTAAGGGTTACGGGAAAATTTTCCATGACAAAAGTCGTAAAATTACAATTTGAAATGAATGGTTAATTTTCAAGAACTCCCTATCGACTTGGAACCGACCGGGAAGCAAGAATGGGCTGTCGTAAGTTTACGACCAAATTTTGTGAATCAAATTACAACAAATGTCGTAAATTTACGAGGATATTTTTCACAGTTGCACTGAAAACCATGGTTTTAAGTGTAAATAGGGGTTAAAATAAGAACATTTGCCTTAAAATTTTGGGGATGTTCTTGAATTGAGAACACATTTTGTGGGTGCGCTTCACCGCTTTAAATGCGCGTGGAATGCGCGTAATGCACATTAAATGCGCCCAAAATGTGTGACCTTTTGTGTGCGTTGTACAACCTGGTTCTTCAAGTTTACTAAAGACAATCATATCGTCTCAGGGAATGCGGCGATCCGATTAGTTTTTCTTCCATCTGCTCAGCCGAGAGGTCGGTACAAACAGCCAACCTCATCATGCGAAAGAGATCCTCCAGGCGTGCCAGTGATATCAATTTCAGGTGCACCGTGTCCACGTGGTCTTGCAACTCCACCTCCGAAGAGAAGTGCGACCGGCAGCTGGGGTACGCCGGGCAACTCATGTTCGTTGTGCAGCAGCGGGGCGAGGCGGGCGTGGCGGGCACAATAGGTGCGTCAGGTGCGGAAGTGGTGGCAGGTGCGGGGATGGCGACAGGTGCAGTGGGGGCAGGGGCGCCTGTGGGGGCGCCTGCGGGGGCGCCTGCGGGGGCGCCTGCGGGGGCGCCTGCGAGGGCACCTGCGGGGGCGTCTGTCGGAGCGAAAGCAGCCGGGCGCGACGTGCTGGGCGGGGTGGCTTTAGAGGCCGAACTTATGTGATTTTTCACATCTCGGTCAGGTGTGGCCAAAGTTTCGTCCTCTTCTAGCTTTATTTGCACCAACTCACTCGGCAAGATATTTGCCTCGTCGGGCCCCCAGTCGTCGTGCGTCGGTGACGGCGAGGTGGGGGGCAGGCCAGGCTGCGGCGCGCCATGCCAGCCGTGCTCCTGCTCCCATCCGGCCACAGTGGTGGGGCTCGGTCCAGGGGCTGCTCCTGGCACGCCTCGAGGGTCTTGACCTGCAACAGCGGCGTAAAGTCCAGTGCTTGACTGTAGCTATCCTACAGTCAACTCTTGAATTTCTGAAACCGGGGCACTCAGAGGCATTTGAACCCGACGCCTCTTGATTGGTTTGCCGGTGAGACAGAAATTCAGGAATTGACCGTGAAAGGTACTGCATACGCCATTATTGCTTGTGTTTTAGCGCCAGGGAAGTCCAGTGACACCAGTCGGTCTGGACGAATTCTGAATTGTGTCTCATTCGCGCTTGTGTTACACTGTTAGAAATTTCCACGGAATTTTCAACGGAATTATGTCAAGAAATTTTTTACCAGGAATGTACCGTAATTTTTGGGGGGGAGCCCCCTCCCCCCCCCCCCTTACTGGTGACCCCAGTGGCCTTCCCCAGCGTCTGCATCAAGGCATATAGGCAACCCGACACACCGTCCTGTGAGGCGTGGGACGCGTTGGACACAGTATTTTTTTTAGCAGATGATACCTTACAAACTTAAACTTACTTACACTTAACATACATATAACTATACATGAGTAATGTAAGGTGTCATTGCTTTTACTCTCGATTTTTAAATTTAAAAGCCTTTTAAAAAGGTCATGGGAAATCACTTTCAAATCTTAAGAGTATGAAAACGAAAATAAATTCGACTTACCGACGCTGAAGTTTGTTCCGGTCGCGGACGCCTGAGGCCAGGGGGAAAATTCCAAAGAGTTCCTGCAATCCAACCAAAGAGTCATAAAAATCATCTGCTAAAAATACTGAAATGGAGTCATGTTCCCGACCCTACCCGGTCCGTCTTTAACAACTGACATATTTTGATTTTCCACCGACAGCGCGGTGCTGCAAGATGGTGCAGGCGCGGTAGAGGTACGCAGAGCTGGCGGCTGGTGTTCCATGGGAGACACCCTGTGCGAGACTAGGACTAGCAGAAAGCACGCGCTAGCTCTGCGCTTGGTAATCGTGGTTATCAACAGATTTTGGCTAAAAGCGGGCGAGTTATATAATTTATGAGCTCCTGCAAGTCTCACATTTAAAATGAGTTATGTCTCGCGGCGGTGCGAAGAGAATTGTGAGAGAAATTAATAGTATCTGAAAACTCGAGGTGGAGCGAGGGAGGTTATGGCCGCTCCTAGCCTCGCACAGGGTGATTTAAGGGGTATGGCCGCGCCCGTGGAACACCAAAGCGCTGTGATTGGCTGCCGTTCGACTGCTCTGCGTACCTCTCACAGGAGGACCACTAGGCGCGGTATAAGAAAGGGGCACGGGGGGGGGGGGGGACTGTGGGTTGCCTACATACATGGGCTTTGTAGTACAAATTGCCTACCTTTCAGGCGGCTCACTAAAGACGATGGGGGTGTTATAGCCCTAGAGACGGGGCCCCCCTTATTCCGCGCCTGAGATGGTGTGTTTCTGGAAGTAAGCCCTTGTAAATTCAACAAGCTGTCTGCTAGAACAGCAAACAAACATTTTGCTGGACAAACCATTTGCTAAATTTACAAAGACATATATCTGTCCCAGCAAACACATCATGTTGCGTGACAGTACCGCCCAGTAGCCAAACGTGTGTCAGGGCTACGACACAGCAGCGTGTGGGTTTGCCTCGACATTACTCCACAAACTCCGCCCGTAAGGAAGCCAGGCGCTGTTGTCCGGCTACTGGATATGTTCTTTGGGTTGCCTACATGAGGATTTGGCAGGCTTCAGAGCAGTACTACTGCTCTGAAGTGGCAGGCCAGCAAAACTGCAGTGTCGCAGTGCATGGTATACTTCGAGCCTGTGCTCCGGTCCGTACTGAATACCAGGTGGCTGCACTCCTGCAGTTTATGCTGTACTAAACGCACACATGCGGGCGGGTTGCCTACTCGCTCGGCCCGTAAGGCGCCGTGGACAGGGGCGATAGGCAAGCGCGCCCGCACTCCGTGCCTAATACAGTATAACTACAGAAGTGCACGGGGTTACTCAGCCAGCCACCTGGCATCTGCCAATATCTACGTCGAAAGTACTGTATAATAGTATAGAGCAGTAACGCCTAACGCCTTAAACCTATCGAGTAATATGACTTGGTATTTGTGCTCTTACCTTCTCAATTTATTTCTCATCTTTCTTTTCATACCCCGTTCCATCCACTTGCAACAAAAGACACAGCGACACAGTTCATATGGGCAGGTCCCGTGTCCAGTTTTAAAGGCTATTCTTCCGTGTCCACGACATCGAGCGCAACAGTTCTGTGGCTTGGTCACTGGCGGTGGTGGTGAACTTTGTTGCATTGGCGGGGTCGACTCAATCGTAACACTACAGGCCTTCGAAAAACCTTGAAGAGAAGCGTCGCTTGTGGCGGGATCCTCTCTGGCGGGATCCGAAACGAAAACGTTGTTTTGCTGTTCTTCCTTATTGATCTGCACCGGATTGTGCATGTTAGTGGACTCGAGCCCGAACCGGGACCACAAAAGCAAAAATATCCACAGGATTAGCTGACAAGAACAAGAAGTCCGCAAGAAGCCGTCGCCGGTCCGTTCAGCAGCAGGCGTGCTCCGTGGGGAAGTGTGGGTGTTCGCCAGAGGCACGCCCGAGCCCGACTGAGGAGGCTGAGGCTGACCAG